TCTCTCTCTCTCTCTCTCTGTGTGTGTCTGTCTCTCGTTCTCTGATTCCTTGGCTTCTCAACTCACACAGTCAGTGACACGCCCGTGTGGTTGGCTGGAGTCTGGCACGCCTGAACTGTAAGTAGCAGCTAATATGAGCGGAGGTGAGAATTATCCTGACTATGATGGAAGCTGTCCCCGTACGGACGCGGACCACACTAGCGAAGTCCTTTGTTCCGGTAATCTGGACGCATCGCTTGAGGAGATGAATATCACGAGACAGGGTAGATGCTCTTTGACCGGAGTTGTTGAGGTCAGTGCACTCGGTCGTCCCGCGAGTCTCGGCGATCTCTATGATGTCCGAGCAGAGAAGTTCCACGCCAAAAGAGTGCTGGACCCAACATCAGGCTCTGCTAGCTGCGTTCTGTGACGTAGAGTCCCTTTCGATTTGCGCATGGAGCATACCTTCAACGACGACTCGCTAAACTCAAGGTTCGCTAAACTAGGCGTCAATCCTGAACTCAAGTTGAGTGTCCTGGGGGGCCTGTTGCAGAACGATGAGTCCCCTCTCGAGAAGTTTCTCCTAACTCATGATGACCATGGTTGCCGAGGTCTGAAAGCCACTCTCTTGTGCCAAGTCGTCACGAGCGAGTGCTACCTGGTGTCTGGAACACCAGAGGTGTGGGACGTGACGAGGGAGTGGGAAGGGGCCACACACTTCGTGAGTGGGCTGGCCTATGGGGCTACTGTGGTTGCGACCATAACGAGCAAGAATCAGGCGACCAATGCTGATTCTGCTCAGCGGCTGCGGTCTCGACTGGACGCCCTACTGCGCTTTCTAGAGTCGTCTCTTTCCATTCCGGACGAGAGGGAACTCTGCAACGGAGATGGTCTTATGCGGTTGCCCAATCGGAACTCCCTGGACGGCCGGCTTGAGGCAGATTGTCCCCGTCAAATGGATAAGTGTGCAGTTGATGATGGCGGATCCATGGGCGACGCCTGTGCGACAGGTGATGGCAGCCAACTCCTTGAATGTGTAGGTACGGAAGACGACGATTTGTTCATGGTGAGTATCTTCACCGACCTGGTCAGCCAGAGCTCAATGATTCCTCAGACATTCCGAGGGTTGAAATCTCTGCGGGGGAATCCGATGTGCCGGGGGGAAGACGGCAACCTGAAAGGCATCCTGATGATGCAGCACACATGGGTGGTTGCTCCGTGAAGCAGGGGCTGACCAGCCTGGAATCGACTTCGGAGGAGGCTTTCGCCATGCCTGACTTGGGGGAGTCCATTTGCAGGGTGGAGCAGCTGTTCCAAGACATCCATGATGTCGAGGAGGAATTGCGCTTCTTCTATGAAGAGGTCAATCGGGCCACGAGAGATCACGGTCACGGAGTCGTCTTCAGAACGGAAGGAAGGATCGTTGATGGGTGCAAGGGTAAGCTGGAAAAAATATGCGAAAGAGCAACTCAAGCAGTGGGTCACGCTGCTGTTGAAATTCGCTCGGGGCGTATGGATTGCAGTGCTCTGAACCACATTGTGGAGGAGTTGCGAGAGCATTTCTGCTTGCCAAAGTTTAAGGACTGCCTGATGAAGCATCGGGTGATTCTGGAGGAGAAGGTGCGGTTCTTTAGAGAGTTGCACAGTTTTGGAATTTATTATGTCAGCGCGGCAGACGAGCGGGTCGCAAGCATGAAGATAGTGTCCGAGCATGCTCGAGATTCTTTGCATATCCTGGTGCGGAACACGATCGTCGAGAGGGAAGGATTGTTTAGGAGCAACCTGGAGTTGCTGAAGAGGCTGGTCGTTCAAAGACGCAGGGAAGAAGGGGAGGCGACAGACACCGAAGACAGTGTGTCTGGAACAGATCGAGTAAGTCGAGCATCAGCAGAAGGAGAAGGAGGAAGAGGAGGAGGAGAAGGAGAAGGAGCTATTGTATTGGTCGGCGGTCGAGGGACTGACAGAAGAAGGTGTTTTCACTTCTACGTTATCGAGATCACAGGGGCTGCTGGTCAGGAGTCAACTGAAGCTCCGGTGAGCAACACGAATGGCTGCAGAGCAGAGAATGGAAACGAAGGGACAGAGTCCTGCGACGATCCTCATCTTCCTCCTCTCTCGCTGGATACAGCAATCCGTTTCTATGAGAAGGGGAAACTGATTCACGACGATGTATGGATGCATATGGAGAGGACCTCTGCCCTTTGCCTCGTGAGATCTAACGAGATGGAACTCTTGGAGCCACGCATTGCCACAACCAGCAGTCTCGGTGCCCCTAATAGAACTGCGCGGCTTCGGTGTCGCTGCCCCGGCTCTGTCAACGGCCTATGCTCTCCCATAGAGCGGGTCTGGCACTGTGAGCGGTGCACTGCTGAAGTGGAGTACGGCTATGATGGCTTTGCCTATTGCGAGTGCGGTCGGTGTCCCGTCGGATCGTTGCGATACCTCTGTCGGGACAAAGTCCACAAGGATGATACTTACGTCCGCTTCCGCACGTCCGCCAAACTGCAGGACGAGCTGGACAAACTGAAACGCAGCGAGGAGATCAACATCTTGCTCTTGGGGGAAACAGGTGTGGGCAAGTCCACGTTCATCAATGCCTTCGTCAATTACTTGACGCACGAAAAGATGGATGATGCCCGCGAGGATCTCATTGCGCTGATACCTTCTAAATTTACAATATGCAAGGACGGCGACTTCGAGGAGTGCATGGTGAGCATCGGAGATGAAGGTGACGCTAACGAGACAAGTGGGAGCGGGAAGTCTTCCACGCAGTCGTGCAAAGCGTATGTGTTTCACTATGGCGATCGGGTGGTGCGCTTGATTGACACACCTGGCATTGGGGATACTCGGGGCATCGAGCAGGACAAGAACTTTGAAAACATCCTTCGGTTCCTGGGACACCACCCCGAGGTCCATGGCATCTGCATTTTGCTCAAGCCGAATAATGCGAGACTGACTGTGATGTTCCGGTTCTGCATCATGGAGCTCCTCTCCCACCTGCACAAGAGCGCCAAGGACAACATCGCCTTCGTCTTCACCAACGCGCGCTCCACTTTCTACCGTCCCGGCGACACCATGCCGCCACTGCGGGAGATGCTGCAGAAGATCCGTGACTCCCCTCCGAACGTGGACATCGAGATCAGCAAGAAAACCATCTACAGTCTGGACAACGAGGCGTTCCGCTTCATGGCGGCTATGAAGCAGGGGGTGGAATTTGGTGAGAAGCAGAAGGCGGATTTCGCGGAGAGCTGGAAGGTGTCAGTCGATGAGTGTCGGAGGTTAATGAAATTCGTATTCAATCGAAAGGCCCACCGAGTGCAGGACACGGTATCAGTGAACGAGGCACGGAGACTCATCCTGCGGTTGGCGAAACCTCTGGGGGACATCAGCCGGAACATTTAGAGGAACCTGCAAGTGCTTGCTGAAAAGGTGAAGGATGTCAACTTTTCAGCCAAACATATCTCGGACCTGAAGAAGCAGCTGTATGTTCCAGCCATCGATCTGGAATATGTGGCGCTTGATCAGCCGCACACGGTGTGCACCTCCTCCTCCTGTCGGGATATCGTGACGACGGGGAGCGTGGCAAAGTATGACTACAGAACCCGTTGTCACAAGCCTTGCTACTTGACGAACGTTGAAATCAATATTGTCAATAACCCGGATTTGCAAAACTGCGCTGCGATGCACCCAAACAGATTGCATTGCAACCAGTGTGGTTGCCCATGGTCAGCGCATATGCACGTCATGACTGAGTCGAAGCACATACAGGTAAACCTCAGGGACAACAACATAGACCAGCAAATCAAGACGAAAGAACAGGCGGTGGAAGCAATGAAGAAGAACATTAAGGATCTTGAAAATCGGGCGTCGGAGCTGAAGAAAGAGCAGCAGATCATAGCCAGGATGAGCGCTCGATTTACCCAGTTCTTGAAGTCCAACGCCATAGCCGCATACAACGACTCCCTGCTCGAGTACTTAGGTCACTTGATTGAGGAGGAGAAGAATCTCAGATCTGAGGGCATGAACAATGCAGAGGTACTCAATGGACTGATCCGACTGAAAGAGACATACGAGACGGAGATCAGAATTCTCTCAGAAGCAGAGACCACCATCGATCCAGCCTTGGATCCTTCGTCGGGGATTCGACTCGGATTACCCGCCTCTGCGTCCCCGTCGTCTTGTTCATCTGTATCGGCCGAAGACATCAATGCCATGGTGCATGAGTTGTTTGCGCTGCAAATCAATGGTTGCATGATCCGGCAAACAATGGAAGAGTACGACAAAGCACTTAAGGCGGTGCACTTTGCGTACTCAGAGACGGTTGTCAGGCCTGCGAGGACTTGGTCGGACCGCGGCAAAAGTGCGAGTCGTGCCGCGGGCAGCAGCAGCAGTCGTGGCTGCTCGCATCCGCCTTGCCAGTGCCACTCTCGCTCTGGCTTTGAAGGCACTCATCAGGGCTGCAAACAACAATACATGGTGCAGATGGGTTCCGTAAGTCTCTGTTCTTACAACACAGTCAACGCCAATGGTTGTAACCATTGCCATGACCAACCAATCCACCATAACCACCAAGCTCATTACCATAGCCACACTATGGACAATGTTTGGAATGGCCATAGCAGCTGTGGCACTCATCATGGGAATGACTTTTCCTGGGGCCAGGAGAATGCTTACTATGACGATCGCCTCGGTGAGAACAGCTATGCCTGTCGTTGTGGGGCAAGGACAACAACGCAGCGCCCACCGGTGGCAGTTAACCAGGGTCTTAGAATTCCGAGCCTTTTTTGAAGCCTGTTTGGACTTTGAATGATTATATAGCAGCAGCCTACCATCTTCAACCAAATAGAAGGCGCGGTCATTGTCATTACCACCACGTGTTGTGCGACTTTCAGTCTAGATGCAGTCTAATGAATGACCGGGCGTTCTATTTGAATGAAGACGGCAGGCCTTTTTCAAAACTCCGAAAAAACCTGCACTCACATCTTCTAACGCACTTGTCAGTTCCTCTAGTATTCCTGAGGATCACCTCCAGGGCCATTCTTCCTGTGTCCTTTCCGTCCTCCTCCCCCCCCCGGCCCCGCCGAAAATCCTGCACTCGCATCTTCTGACACACTTGTCAGTTCCTCTAGTATTCCTGAGGATCACCTCCAGGGCCATTCTTCCTGTGTCCCTTCACCCCCCCCCCCACTTCCTGTGTCTTCTAAGCAGCCATCTAGATTGCTTGTCGGACTCAGTCGGAGGACCCAGTCCCTCTTCCTTCCTTTTTCTGCAGGAATGCCACTGTGAGGTACGGGTATGAGGGCACACTCTTCACTCTCACTTTCCTAAACGTATCTGACTGCAACTATGGCGGGAGTTGGATGAATCTGACCGCAATCACGTCCAGACCTTAGTAGGAAAAGCTCTAGTGTGAGTAAGCCCTGAGTGGTACATGTTGTTGGTCGTGTCACGCATTGGAGGAAGCAGAAACTGGTCATTGGTACTTTCTTTTTGTGTTTTTTTTCCTTTGTCATTGATCATCACACTGATGGCTATATGTGTAGGACTCCGATGTTTGTTCTGTGGTTGAGCTTCAAAATTGAAATAGACTCAAATAGTTCCGCTGTGAAAAGATTTTGTGTAAGCGTAATGTCGGCAGTTGGTTAATGAATATATAGGTCCGGGACTTCCGGCGATGTGCTTCCTGCGACATCATCGATCTCGCTGCCTTTTTTGTTTTTCTCGTTGACTTATTATAATTATGAGCGTCGGATTTTTCTGACCACGTCATCGGCGGCTTATCGGACACAGAGCAGGTTCGTCTTAGTCTGTCTATCTTGGCGTCTGAAATTTGAACTTGGTGTATCTTCGGAATTTCAGTCCGTACTCTGTTCAGGTGTACACTCAGACTGAAGGATGAAGGACACAGCTTACAATGCCTTACATGAAATGTGCAATGCTGGTTATTCATTGTGTAATGGTCGTTCTTGGATCATTCTCGTATCATTCTCGGATCATTCTCGATCATTCCCGGATCCTTCTCGGATCACTCTCGGATGATCATTCTCGGATCATTTCTCGGATAATTCCGGATCCTTCTCGGATCCTTCTCGGATCCCGGATCGTTCTCGGATCCCGGATCGTTCTCGGATTGTTCTCCTGGGATCGTTCTGGAATCATTCTGGGTGATCATTCCCGGATCATTCCCGGATCATTCTCGGATCATTCTCCTAACTCGGAGGAGGGAATTCGTCTACAGAGTCTACAGACCTTTCGGAGCTCTGAGGGAGGTATGATCGTTTGCGTACCTGAGTTTGAAATTCCTCTTTTTTCCATCTGCAGTGAAGCCAGTCTCGTTGAGAAGTCAGTCGGCATCGGAATACAAATCTCAGCCTAGCGCACATCGTGAGGTCTCTGAAGTCAAGTACAAGTCCGTGACACTGTGTCAATTATATGCACAATTCACATCTTCTGTCCCTCTCCCGGAACTGATAAGCGAATTTTTATTCACTCTAGCACTCTTAGTAACTCTAGTTTGCAGGTCAGATTAAGGGGAAACTAAAGTCTAAAGGATAGGAGATACTATAGGATGTTGAATTGTTGGTCATTGATCAACGTTCGACTTTACATTAATTTTGCGTCTAACTTGAATAATGTAGTCTTATGTAGGATGAAATTTGTATATCCCAGAGAGTCAGAGACCACTGGCAGGCTCGGATTAGCAGAGTATAGGTATTGCCCAAGGAGAAGGACTTGGGTTTTTATCGTCCTCTCCTACTGTCAATGGATCGTGCTTGGATCGCAACGGTCAGGCAGCACTCTTATCTTGGATTGCTGCGTCAAAGACCCCTCTCGGTTCTCTCTTGCTCTTGAGGGGGACATCCTGGTTCTGGACTATAGCAGCTCTTGCATGACAGTTGTTGTGGTTGTGAGGACAGTGTCAGCCTCTGTAGTGGTTGGCTGGTACTTGGAGCCTTGGAGGTCTTGCACTACCTGGAAATGGCATTGCGAGGAGAGTGGGAGGCGTGCAGAGCAGGAGAGGAGATTAGGTGCTTGGCAGCCATGCAGACTTCTGTGGCTGAGGCAGCGTCGGTCCCACACGGTTCTGTATCCACTCCGGCTCAAGGACTTCAGTTTTGCACCAGTGAGAGAGCGGGAGTGTGTGTGTGTGTGTGTGTGTGTGTGTGTGTGTGTGTGTGTGTGTGNTGTGTGTGTGTGTGTGTGTGTGTGTGTGTGTGTGTGTGTGTGTGAGAGAGAGAGAGAGAGAGAGAGAGAGAGAGAGAGAGAGAGAGAGAGAGGCTCTGGCTTTTATTATTCTGTGATTATTGGTCAGTTGTTATTCATGTTTTCAAGGCGGAGTTGAAGCAAAAGACAGGAGTCAGATAGTCTTTTTCTTGGTGAGTTCGAGTTTGTGGATTTTCGGGGAGGAGGTGTAAGATGAGTAATGGGGGAGTTTCAGAACGGTTTTATGGAGTCACAAATTACTTCCGACTCTTCTTAGTGAGAGAGAGAGAGAGAGAGAGAGAGAGAGAGAGAGAGAGGGAGAGGGAGAGTGAGAGAGAGAGAGAGAGAGAGAGAGAGAGAGAGAGACTTTCTTTGTGAGAGAGAGAGAGAGAGGCTCTTGCTTTTATTATTCTGTGATTATTGGTCAGTTGTTATTCATGTTTTCAAGTCGGAGTTGAAGCAAGAGACAGGAGTCAGATAGTCTTTTTCTCGGTGAGTTCGAGTTTTTGTGGATTTTCGGGGAGGAGGTGTAAGATGAGTAAGCGGGGAGTTTTGGAACGGTTTTATGGAGTCACATTATTAGTTCTGACTCTTCTTAGTGTTATTGCAATCTCCATCTCCATTCTCCTTGAAACTTAAGTTCTTCGTCTTCTCCTTCACCGTCTTCCTCTTCTTCAGCTTCACACTTTTCTTTTTCGTTTTCTTCTTCTTCTGCTGCTCCACTCTCTTTCTTCTTCTTCTTCTTCTTCTTCTTCTTCTTCTTCTGCTTCTTTTTTGTTCTTCTTTCATTCTTCTCCGTTTCCGCGGCCCTATGCGTGGGGCTTGTCTCTCTGTGTGCTTCGCCTCCCAAGTACCTCGTGGAACGGATTGATGGTTTTCTATCTGCAAAAGCATATTAAGCGGAATCATTATGTTGATTTGTCATTTTCACAGACTGACAGTGCTTGTGGATTTGAATCTTCAACAGAGTTTTCTGACGCAACATTTCCCCTCAAAGGATAAGTAACCGACGATCAGATGATGGGCAAACCTGGACTTCTGAGATTCTTTGGGACCTCTTCAGAGTCTTCGCTCGAACTTCGCAAACTTCTCGAAGAACAGAAAACCAACTTGAAGGTAAGATCGCGGAGTCGCAGTTATTTTCCAAAGGTTGAAGTTTCTAATCCCATTTCATTTATTGCAATAAATCACAGTTTCCCAGTCGGGCTGTGCACTAAGTGTTCGTTCGGCTGTGTAGTTCGTTGACTTGCTGTCTGAATTCTTTGTTTTGAGAACTTTCGACTCTTTTGAGCTTTGCGGGACTCGATCCCGTGACCTGTAACTCGTGTGTTTTGTTTGTGAGCGCTGCACCCTATGGGACTCGATCCCTGAGTCTGTCACAAGTAGTCTCTGTTTGGTAGACTTAGGCCATTGCGCCTTTTCCTTTTGGCTTGTCATAGGTCTAGTAGGTCCGCTTGTCCCCCTGTTTCCATGTAGATAGAGATGAGTCTTGGGTGGTTGCCATTGAAGTCCGTCGTAGGTCTAGGCAGAGGGTAGAAGTAGCGGGCAAAAAATTTGGTTCGGGTCTTTTCTTGTTTCGTGCTGCTGGGGAAGCTCTGCCCGTCTGCTGTTGGAGTACTGCTGATCTTTTTTTTTTTTTTTTTTTTTGGAGTAGTGCTGATCTATTTTGGGCGAGGTCAGCTTCTTCCCCGGAGCCCAGCCATAGCTGGGGTTGGGAAACGAAGTTGAAGATGGCACTGCTTTCTATTTCGCAGATCTGCATCAGAGCTTCCAAAGGACTGTCAGTGTTGTTGGGGTTTGGGCGCTGCCATTTTCCACTTGGCAGCCATAATATCTGCTTTTCCTCCTCAGGAGGAACTTGGTCTTCTTCGAAGTGCTGGATCGGTTGTCTCCTTCTTCAGCAGGACTTCCAGCCCTGCATGTCCGTGCAGGCGCTGAGCTGGCGCTGCTGTCGTTGGGGTTGCTGGCTCAGATGGGGATGTCGTGACAGCTGTGGGGTTACTGATGCTAGTACGGCAGCCATAGCCAGGGAGGGGGTACGAGGTGGCGAGGAGGAAGAAGAAGACTCCTGCTGCCCTGCGTACGTCGTTGAACACTTGTTTTTGGTTGGTTGGCGTCGTTGGAAATGCGGTTGTGATTTTTTTTTTTTTTTTTTTTTTTTCGGTTGTGATTCTTGGAACAAGTAGTACTCTGGATTGATTGGAGGAGGACGAGGGATGGATAAGAATTGAAATTCGTTTTTTTTCAATTCTCTGTGTATTTTTAGCTTCCACTGTGCAATGTGCATGTCTTCGCTCCGGTTTTGTGTGGATTTGCCTCCTTCAAGTCTGCTCTGCAAGCATGCGTGAATGGGAACGTGTGAATTCCTTGTGGATTGAAGCTCAATGAGGTAGATAACAGTTGGTACCGGAGCTGCGAACGTGTGTGAAACGTTTGAATTCTTTGTGGATTGAAGCTCAATGGGGTACATAACAGTGTTGGTAATGGAGCTGCTGCGACCGTGCGCTACTGGCGAGCAATTGAGTGGCAACCTCCGTAAAGTTTCTGGGCGGCGTTTGGAGTAGGAACTTATTGTCCGCTTTCTTCAACGGATGTCGTTGGTGAGAGGTGGCGGAAAGGTAGTGTGGGAGGGGAGACTTACAGCTATCAATAAAAAAAAAAGGAAAAAAAAATAATACGCAGTGGTGGAACTTTCACTGGACGTTGTTGATCAGTCCTGTTAG